ATGTTCAGAGTTTGAAATATATTTGTACGTACTTGGTCTATGTTTAGTCTGTGATATATAATTGTACTTGGTTTTTATGCTTAGTCTTTGATATACAATTGTACCTGGTTTATGCTTAGTCTTAGATATATACTTGTACAGGGTCTATGTTGAGTCTGTGATATATAATTGTACCTGGTTTATGCTTAGTCTTTGATATATACTTGTACAGGGTCTATGTTAAGTCTGTAATATATAATTGTACCTGGTTTATGCTTAGTCTTTGATGTATACTTGTACAGGGTCTATGTTAAGTCTGTAATATATAATTATACCTGGTTTATGCTTAGTCTTTGATATATACTTGTACAGGGTCTATGTTTAGTCTGTGATATATAATTGTTCTTGGTTTATGCTTAGTCTTTGATATATACTTGTACTGGGTCTATGTTAAGTCTGTAATATATACGATGGATATGTAGTGCTCAATACAATCGATTCTGAGTATCTGGTTTTCTGACTAATAACTATACTACACACCTTATCATACCACGTTTACATGATTTTTTAAACAACTTATATTTGTATTGTAACGTTCTCTATGCATTTTAAATCTCAAGTTCAAGCCATATTTGCTAGCAATCTAGTTTCTAGCGATCATATCTGCACTAACCCTTTGTTCATTGTACCCTCCTAGTATTTCTTTATTCCTTAATGAATAAAATATAAACCTGTTAAATTCTGCTTTGAGTGTGTATAGATTTATGTTGAATATTTCAAGAGAAGAATAGAAGCTTCAAACATCAAAGGATTTTAGTATATTCAATATATTAAAGGATTACTCTTAAACCATGCTTCAAGCTTGGTTCCAGAAATTTTTCCTAAAATAATTTATAGAAAAAAAGACCATTATTTTATAATCCGTTGAATTTGTTTAATCTCCAGTAAAATCCACAAAATTATGGAACAATCGAAGACGACTTAGTTTTGATTTTAAATAGTCCAATATTGGAACATGAAACACAGTAATTGTGTACTGTATTGCATAACTGACTATATATTAATAAATAAGTTGATTTCCAAGCTTTACAAGTAAAACTATTTTCTGAAGATCAAAATCGAATACACAGAAGATTGCTTAAATGTCGTCTTCCTATTCCACAGTATTATGGGTCATACTGTATTTTTTTTAAACGCGTAAGTTATCGCTGAAACAGGCTTTTCAAAAGTATGATCTATAAAAGAATATCTAACCACATTTCATGTGTTTTATTAACCTAACCCGGCCTTCTTTTATAAACTCTAACTATTGAACCTGAGGCCGAATTTAAAGAATTTGAGCCGCGGCTTAAATTAAAGCCAGGGCTCAAAAGTAGTTGGTTCCATTTAAAATTGTATTCAATTTTTCAAGATTAAAGCCGGCGCTTAATTGAAACCGGTTTTGGAGGATTTAAGACGCGGATTGAATTCATTGAATTCGGACACTGAATTTAGCTACTCGGGAAAATATATCAATATTCTTATTTAATTTTGTTTGAAAATTTATATCTATTGAAGATAAAAGTAAATATCTAAAAATTAAAAAATAACTGAACAATGAACGATGTAAGCCGACATCATATTTAGATTATTGGTTGAAACTTGTCAAGTATAGAAGAGGATCAGGAGAAAAGTAAATTATAGAAGAGGACCAGGAGAAAAGTCAAGTATAGAAGAGGACCAAGAGAAAAGTCAAGTATAGAAGAGGACCAGGAGAAAAGTCAAGTATAGAAGAGGACCAGGAGTAAAGTGGAAAAGAGTAAAAGATTAAACGTATCCTAGAAATGAATGATTGCAAGAAACCATGGAAAATGCGGATAGAAGATGGATTAGATTTATTTATGAGAAAACTGAACTGGAACCATTTAGACATTTCATGATAAAGACATTCAACTCGGTTAAATAGGACAGCAGGCAGCCTTTTTATAGGGCGTTAAACCCTTACATAGACTTCTTAGTTTCTACATAGACTTCTTAATTCTTACTTAGACTTCTTAATTCTTACATAGACTTCTTTATTCTTGTCTAGTTTTCTTAATTCTTATATAGACTTCTTAATTCTTACATAGATTTCTTAATTCTTATATAGACTTCTTAATTCTAACATATACTTCTTAATTCTTATATAGACTTCTTAATTCTTACATAGACTTCTTAATTCTTACATAGACTTCTTTATTCTTGTCTAGTTTTCTTAATTCTTATATAGACTTCTTAATTCTTACATAGACTTCTTAATTCCTACATAGACTTTTTAATTCTTACATAGACTTCTTAATTCTTACATAGACTTCTTAATCCGTACATAGACTTCTTAGTTCCTACAAAGACTTCTTAATTCTTACATAGACTTCTTAATTCCTACATAGACTTCCTAATTCTAACAAAGACTTCTTAATTCTTACATAGACTTCTTAGTCTCTACATAGACTTCTTAATTCTTACTTAGACTTCTTAATTCTTACATAGACTTCTTTATTCTTGTCTAGTTTTCTTAATTATAATAAAGACTTCTTAATTCTTATATAGACTTCTTAATTCTTACATAGACTTCTTAATTCTTACATAGACTTTTTAATTCCTACATAGACTTCTTAATTCTTACATAGACTTTTTAATTCTTACATAGACTTCTTAATTCTTACATAGAGTTCTTAATTCTAGCATAGACTTCTAAATCATTACATAGACTTCTTAATTCTTACATAGACTTCTTAATTCTAGCATAGACTTCTTACTCCTTACACAGACTTCTTAACTCTTACATATTAAAACTTGATCGATGTAGAAATTAAGCTTAACCCGTAAAATAAAATTTAAAAATATATTCTTCATAGAACTGTATAACAGGTTTGCTGGGGAATTATTCTAATTCCTTGAATTATTTTCCAGGACGGATTTGAACTAGGTCAACTAGAACTAGACTAATATCTCAATGAGAACTGTTTTCCGGCTCCGGTATTGATTTGTGTGTGTTTGCGAGATTGAGATTATAGGAACACCTGAGAGATATTTAGAACTGGAAGCTAGAGGGTTTAGAGAGATAGTACAGCGAGGAAAATCGTTTTATTACACATATTTTATCCACTGAAACCTTGGTATAGAAAAGATAAGATAAACACATAAATATGTATTGTGTAAACGTACCATTATGAATTTATGGCTTATCGTGGATTTCAATGTCTGGATAACATTTTTTTAACTATCCCTGTCCTTACTTCAATCTAGATACAAATAGAAGGTAGAATTTATGGGAAATTACTGGTAGGACTTTATGGTTTAGTAGCTCCACTTTTTTCGATTTTACGTCCAAGTATTAAAAAGCAAATCTTTTTGGTTGGATGTAAGAAATTCAAAACTTGTAAAGGATCTATTTTCTTCTTAAATCCGAACTGGGAATCCTGGAAGGAAAAAGGATAAAATATGGGAAAAGATACAGGCTGGTGGAAATCCAGTAGTTCTCCAACCTGCATCGGATGTAAGATTTTTATCAAATATGAATTCAATTAGATAAAATGGGATTGGTTTATTCTACGAAATGTAGAGTTGGGACTGTATTATGGGCTGAAGGATATTTGATAGATTCCTCCCGTCCTTCTTCATTCTAGTCTCAGGGGTTTAGAACTTTTCTTTGGTTTCTCTATACCCTACTCTAACCTACTTATTTTGTTGTTATCATTATTAAAATTAGATGGAAAAAATAATCAAAAAAACTAAGAGCTATTTTCCACCTAATTGCTTTGTACTTGTACTTATACTTGTACTGTTAATATAATCATCAATTTGTAATTGTAAACTCGTTCTGTATACAGATACATGTATTTTAGCAATAAACTTTATCTTATCTTATCTTATCTTATTCCATACTTTACTTTGGTTTCTCTATACCCTACTCTAACCTACCTATTCCATACTTTACTGTGGTTCTTTATACTCTACTCTAACCTACCTATTCCATACTTTACTTTGGTTTCTCTATACCCTACTCTACTGTAACCTATCTATTCCATACTTTACTTTGGTTTCTCTATACCCTACTCTAACCTACTTAGTCCATACCTTTATTTGGCTTCTCTATACCCTACTCTACTCTACTTATTCCATACTTTACTTTGGTTTCTCTATACCCTACTCTAACCTACTTATTCCATACTTTACTTTGGTTTCTCTATACCCTACTCTAAACTACCTATTCCATACTTTACTTTGGTTTCTCTATACCCTACTCTACTCTAACCTACCTATTCCATACTTTACTTTGGTTTCTCTATACCCTACTCTAACCTACTTATTCCATACTTTACTTTGGTTTCTCTATACCATACTCTAACCTAATTATTCCAAACTTTACTGTGGTTCTTTATACCCTGCTCTAGCCTACTTATTCCATACTTTTCTTTGGTTTCTCTTTACTCTACTCTACCTACTTATTCCATACTTTACTGTGGTTTCTCTATACCCTACTCTAACCTACGTATTCCATACTTTTCTTTGGTTTCTCTTTACTCTACTCTAACCTACTTATTCCATACTTTTCTTTTGGTTTCTCTATATTCTTCTCTACCCTTCTTATTCAATACTTTACTTAGGGTAAATAATTCCTTTCAAATGTTTAAGATACATTATCTAGTATGTTTCACTGATGTTGATTAAAAATTGATTGAAGCTGAGAGCTGAAAGAAATGAACGAATGATTTAAAAATACAAAAAATACCCCCTCCCACCCCCCACTCTTTATAACAGTCCTGGAAAAGTTCAAGATTCAGTGGGTGTTTTGTATTAACCATAATACTTTAAAAGGAGTAACAAGACTTTTATAGATATTTTTTCATTTTTTTTAATATCCTTCAAACCTGGTGTTTTTCTATTTTTCTATTTTTTCATTTTATAAATTCAAAAATACAGAAAAAATGCTTTTTTTAATGGTTGCTAAAGTGAAATGTTTAATCTGAAAAGTAGAATGTTTGAACTATGAATCCTACCCTATCTCAGATTCTGGTATATGAGAGGACATGTTGGCAGTGTAAGATAAGTAAAGGTATTTTTGTTTCAACCCTTTAAGCCATCTCCTGTACCCGTCCCAACACCATCTCTGGGTTCTGAAATCAAGTTTGTCTTGGAATTAGATAATTTTCTAGAAATACGAATCAACTATGAGTATTAAAGGTTCTATGTTGTATGAATCTCCGCGTGTGTTTTATTGAATGAATATCCTACACCCTTTCTCCGTACACTTCAGCTCCAGACTACACCCGGAGCCTCCACGGAGCCGAGGATGAAATTTAAACCTCTCCGATCCGGAGTAAATATGAAAACCAGGTTCGGAGACTATAGAAAGCGTGTTCACTTGAATCTTGAGATCAAATAATTACCTACTCTCAGCTTTTTACCACAAAGACAAATTGACTTTAGATCAATTTTGGGTACTATTATTATATAATTATACTATTATTATATAATTATACTATTATTATATAATGCTCGTCCAATGTTGAAAAAAATAGTCGCAAAGTAGAAATACAAACAATCTCTAGACTATTTTACCAACGGCCAGACCGTTCAAAAAGTGTTTATATTCAGTAAAAAGAATATCTTTTTAAAACTTCATAATTTTTAATATGTTCTCCCTCTCTCATATCCTTTAGGTCCAGTAGACCTCCGTTTCTTCATCTCCATCACCCTCCTTCACCCTTTATTTAATTTCCTCCCCCCCCTTCGTGCCCCCCCCCATTCTTCTCTTCAGATCTATATTCCTTTCCGCCTCCTCCCTACCTCTCCTCCCTATAAGCCTCTCCTCTCAACTCCTCCCTCCCTCCCTTCTACTCTCCTTTCTCTCCTAATTTCTTCTCTTAAGAACTCCATTACCTCTCTATTCTCCTCCGCCTTCTCCTCTCCTCCTCTCCTCTCCCTTCTACTCTCCTCCCTCCCCTAATTTCTTCTCTTAAGAACTCCATAAATATTCCTCTGCTCCCTCCACTAACCTCCATTTTTCCATTGCTGCTCCTCTCCTCCCTCCCCTTCCCTATAATCTTCTCTATATCTCACCATCCCTCTCCACAGTACAGGAACGGTTTGAGAATGAAAACCATGTGTTCAAGTCGACTAGAGAGAATAATAAATGCTCTCAAATAATTTGGGAAAATTTATATTTCCTGAAAACTTCTTCTTCTCATGGTTCATAAATGTACACAAGTAGTAATATCGTCAAATTGTAAAGAGAACCATAGTTTACGGAAACCAGGAACCAGTCAGTCTCTTTCCTGGCCATATCAGCACGATTTGCTCTACCCAGATCATCTATCTGATCCGTCAACTCCTTGATCCTATGAGCAGAGTGAGTAATCTTGAGTCCACCAACTCTGCTCTAAACCAGAGCAGAGTTGGTGGACTCAAGTTCACTCACTCTGCTCGTCATTCCTTCAACCTTGGTCTGCATCTCCTTAATCTCCTGGATAGCACTAGTCGCTGCTCCTCTCTCCCCTGACAACTTGGCGTTGAGGTCATTAATCTTCTTGTCGTAGATAGCGGTGAACCCGGCCCTGTTATCCAACATCTGCTGCTCGTAGGATTCCCTCAGCTTCTTTAGGGACTGAGATAGTATCTCCTTTTACTGGTTCTGAACCCTGCTGTCCACCTCCTCTATCTCAATCTGCTTCCTAACCTTGGTATCGTTAATCTGCTGCTCAAGAATATTCTGGCTAAATGCGTTCTCTTCCTGCATTGTGAGAAGCTGGTTCTGAAGATCTATTCTCTTCAAGATTTCACCACGGTTCGCACGAGAAGACGTTTTTTAGTTACCTTGTTTTATAATTTACAAATATGGTAATTGTTCATGTTTGTTTTTACAAATTAAATTACAAAAGAAGGTTTTTTCTTCCGGTTTTTAGTTTTTGTTATTTTGGGATGTTTAATATGCTGGTTTTTTTTAACACTTTAATTTTTGGTTTTAAATTATATATTGATATATTTTAAAAAATAGTAAAAATATTTTGCTTGAGTAAGAACCAGGTTTTTTGCTTGAATAAGATTTTTGTCTGAAAAATGTTTATATTTTAACAATTATATTTTTTGAGTCACAAATGTAAAGGAGTTGGTCACTCAGCACCAAAGGGTTATATCGTCGTTACAAATCATTATTTTTACATCTAGTTTTGACTTAAGTATGTCCTGTATATCCCTGAATGGTGTTCTGGCCAGGATGTACCTTGAAAACTGCAGGGGCGCAAACTGTTGAAAAAAGGGGGGTCGATAGGGGGCTATTTTCGGAAATACTGATTCAAATAAAATGATATTTCAAACTATTTTTATTTGGACCAAAACTAATAGATTTATGTTGTTTTAGTCTATTTCCGGGCTCCAGGGGCGTAGAAGCAGGACTTTAAAGTTTTGCTTATTTATCATTATATACAGGGTGTCCCACATCAAATTAGATCGCGTCAATGGGTCTAAATTACGATTTGGGGGAAAAATCAGAAAATTTAAGAAGAATGAATCATTTTAAAAAATTTAATAAGGCTAATAGAAAATTTTGTTGGCAGAAAATGCTAGATTTTTTGCGTATTATGTGCGTATTTTGGCGTTAAAAATTGTTGATAGTCTAATATGATAGGAGACGCTCTGTATATTTACCAAATGTATTGCAAATCAAAAAATTGTAAATTGTCTGTATTTTAAACAAGGCAGCAAAACTTTATTAAATTTCTCTCGCTTTGAAAATTCCAAAATTGAAAAGTGAAAACTTGACACAATGGAAGTTTGATTCAATTGAATGAGGAGGGCAGGGGGCCTTTGTTTTTATTTATTTCCAAAAGCACCAAAAGCTTGCTCTTGAAATTGTGTTTTTACAATCCTAAAGGTTTGAACCTTGAACCATGTGAGTGCATGAATGAAATAGGAAATTTTTACTAAGAGTGAGAACCAATATGCGGTATTTGAATTTAGTTTAATTACGTACACCCCTTATTAAAGTCTCCATGTAAAATGCCGCAAATTATTCCTAAATTTGATTCAGTCTGATTCATTGCCAGCTACGTATATCGACGCAAAAAAAGCATTTTAAATGGAAATATTAACCTTCAAAAGGCTAGTTTTTTTAATTATTATCACACAAACTGCTGTAAAAGTTTCATCTAAAAATGGAATACCAGAATTTAACAAAAAATTGACCGAGCAGAGTTTGAAACTTTTGAATCATTAATCTGTATCCTTTATGTTTCAACGGATTCAGTTAATTATTTTAAGGTCTAACCCATTAAGAGGCACACAAAATCTGACCAGTTCTTAAATGCTTTCTCTGATATCCACAAAAATGTGTTACACAATAAAAATCCACTATGTATTCTACTAGATAAAATGAATAAAAATAATGTTAACAAATATTAAAGGTCATGATAATACAATAAATAAAAATAAACAAAACATGTATGCACATTGTACAATATCCAACAGGGTTACAACAAATATTTATTGATGTGTTTGTTTAGTAAAAATCAACGAAATGTCAGGCGTAATAAAAGTCATTAACAGTCCGATATTTGTCGTTGGTTTCCCTTCAAAACCTTCCACAAATACTAAAACTAAAAGTTTGTCAGCCTAAATCTGTTTTCAATACATTTGTTTGGGACTCAAAATTTGAAAATGTGTTATGAGCTTTATGACTATGTAGAGTAACACAATATCCATGGGATTTATGACTAGAAGAAGATCATGTTTAAAAGCTTTATGACTAGAAGAAGATCATGTTTAAAAGCTTTATGACTAGAAGAAGATCATGTTTAAAAGCTTTTTGACTAGAAGTAGATCATGTTTAAAAGCTTTATGACTAGCTGATGATCGTATTATGAGCTCTTTGACTAGAAGTAGATCATGTTTATAAGCTCTAAGACTATCTGAAGATCATAATATAAGCCTTATGACTAGAAGATAATTTTAAAGGACAGTTATCATCATTATGGCAGATGAATATAACATCATGCGTCTGATATATAAGATCATTATCATCTCTATAGATAATTCTGATCTCTGTCATGGTGATGATGATTCTGAAAATGATGATCTCTACGATGATGAGGCAGCAGCAACAGCCTTCAAAGCAACCTCCGCTAAATTAGTTCCCTGACTTTCCTAAAAAATCGTAAAAAACTTAAATAAAAAATAATCCGCCAATGATCTAATAAAATTTAAATTTTCTAGAAAGAATATTGGAAAGCTAAATATTGAAATATCAATGGTTTACACATCAGAGATCGGAACTTTTGTGTGGATATTGAACACTTTGTATTGATATCAAATGTGGGCACTTGTATATTGGAGGATTAGTGCTTGATCCCTTTCTTTAGTGTATAATAATGATGAATTAAATTACTCCGTGCGCGTGACTCTGAAGATGATCCCAGATTCGAAGTTTAGGTGTTTGGCGAGCATTAATTAATTCCTGTTTATGTGGTAACAAATATAAAAGAAAAAAATGTACAAACCATTAGTTTCATGATTATAGAAGTAACTCCTGCTGGATCCCAGGGGCAGGTCCCTCGGAAATATGAATCACATTTCAATCCTTCTCCGCTTGTCCCTAATCCGTCCTTCCCTGCTTCAACTTGATCCAAGAGAGCGGATTGAGTCGGACCAAGGAATCCCCGGACGACAGGATGACTAAATATTTTGTAAGGTTATAACCATTAAAGGGAGTGTTCGTGAAAAGTGTAAGGGAGTATAAGAATGATCCTAAAGTAGATTATGAATAGTTTTGAACCACTTTTATATCTATCGGATGTTTCTTAAGAAAGAACCCGGGAGTGTTGTTAATCGTTTTGGTTCGATTTTTAACCAAATCTAATAAAACTTCGACGATTTCAAAACTTTATTCTGTTATAGTTTACAAGACATCCAATCTCTAAATTTGTTTACATTCCCCCAGACAGTACAGTACACAATACACATTTTGAGACATTAGATTTGGGGGTTCCTGGTTTATCTTCTTGGATTTCATTTCCTAACTTAAAAACTGGTCTTTGATTATCTTTCTTCTTTGAAACCGTTTGGATGTTTGGGCCAAACAAGTTGACTAATTTCTGAAGTTTATTCAGAACTCAAACTTAAGATGGCAAATTAATTTAAAAGAAAACTTTAAACTTTTCGAAAGCATTTAGTATAATTTTATAAAATTAAGTAAAACCAAATATTTTCTCAAATTAAATTATTCTCTAGCTGAGCAACTTGGTTTCATTAACTAATTAACAAATAGCTTGAAAACTCTTAGATTAAAGAATTCTGTTCATTTAAACTCACTCATCCCAAACTCCATTCCTTCCTTTCAGATTTAGATTGATTTAAACTAATCCTACTTCAGGTTAAGTTTGAACTGACTAACCACATTTGAGGTTTAGATTGAATTAAACTAGTCCTACTTCAGGTTTATTTTGATCTGACTAACCACATTCTAGGTTTAGTTTTTGCTGACTAACCACATTCTAGGTTTAGATTGAGTTAAACTTGTCCTACTTCAGTTTAAGTTTGAGTTGAATAACCACATTCGAGGTTTAAATAGAGTTAAACTTGTCCTATACTTCAGGTTAAGTTTGAGCTGACTAACCACATTAGAGGTTTAAATTGAGTTAAACTAGTCCTATACTTCAGGTTAAGTTTGAGCTGACTAACCACATTAGAGGTTTAAATTGAGTTAAACTAGTCCTATACTTCAGGTTAAGTTTGAGCTGACTAACCACATTAGAGGTTTAAATTGAGTTAAACTAGTCCTATACTTCAGGTTAAGTTTGAGCTGACTAACCACATTAGAGGTTTAAATTGAGTTAAACTAGTCCTATACTTCAGGTTAAGTTTGAGCTGACTAACCACATTAGAGGTTTAAATTGAGTTAAACTAGTCCTATACTTCAGGTTAAGTTTGAGCTGACTAACCACATTAGAGGTTTAAATTGAGTTAAACTAGTCCCATACTTCAGGTTAAGTTTGAGCTGACTAACCACATTCTAGGTTTAGATTGAGTTACACTAGTCCTTCTTCAAGTTTGAGCTGACTAACCACATTCTAGGTTTAAATTGAGTTAAACTATTCCTATACTTCAGGTTAAGTTTGAGCTGACTAACCACATTAGAGGTTTGAATAGAGTTAAACTAGTCCTACTTCAGGTTAAGTTTGAGCTGACTAACCACATTCGAGGTTGAGATTGAGTTAAACTAGTCCTACTTCAGATTAAGTTTGAGCTGAATAACCACATTCGAGGTTTGAATAGAGTTAAACTAGTCCTATACTTCAGTTTAAGTTTGAGCTGAATAACCACATTCTAGGTTTAGATTGAGTTAAACTAGTCCTACTTCAGGTTAAGTTTGAGCTGACTAACCACATTCGAGGTTTAGATTGAGTTAAACTAGTCCTACTTCAGGTTAAGTTTCAGATGACTAACCACATTAGACGTTTAAATTGAGTTAAACTAGTCCTACTTCAGATTAAGTTTGAGCTGACTAACCACATTAGAGGTTTAAATTGAGTTAATAAGTCCTACTTCAAATTAAGTTTGAGCTGACTAACCACATTAGAGGTTTAAATTGAGTTAAACTAGTCCTACTTCAGATTAAGTTTGAGCTGACTAACCACATTAGAGGTTTAAATTGAGTTAAACTAGTCCTACTTCAGATTAAGTTTGAGCTGAATAACCACATTAGAGGTTTAAATTGAGTTAAACTAGTCCTATACTTCAGGTTAAGTTTGAGCTGAATAACCACATTCGAGGTTTAGATTGAGTTAAACTAGTCCTACGTCAGTTTAAGTTTGAGCTGAATAACCACATTCGAGGTTCAGATTGAGTTAAACTAGTCCTACTTCAGGTTAAGTTTGAGCTGAACTAACCTAAGGCAAGATTAAGACTAACCATATTACGCGGTTTTCTTAGTTTACATGACACCTAGTTTATTTTGAATAGAGCTCAATTTGTAATAAATATCGGGTAACACGATATTCTGTAAACCTGCAGTACTTTGTACATTATTAATTATCTAGGTTTGTAAACTTCTACGTAAAACCCATTAATCATTTGAACTTTGCTTCAAATGATTACATGTAACAAATACAGCAATCCCCATATTTGTTAAAATGAACATACCTAGATATATTAAACATACATGAGCTACGAAATATGATTAAAACATGCATTGTGATTAGATTAACAACGTTATATCTATCATCGTAAATCTTATAAATACGTACATTAAACTTGTAACTACGTCGATTCACGTTAACTTGTAACATAAGATATCTAAAATAAACTAGTTTAAATAAATACTCCGTACTGTTTACTGCGAGAGAGTAATCGTTCCTTGTTTTGATAAACAGGTTGAGGATCGTGTCCTAGTTGAGGCATTGATAGTTTACCAGATCGTGTTCAAGTTGAGGCAATTATGGCTGAAGATCGTGTCTTAGTTGAGGCATTGATAGCTCAAGATCTTGTCCTAGTTAAGATATTGATAGTTTACGAGATCGTTTTCTAGCTGAGGCATTGCTAGTTTACGAGATCGTGTCCTGGTTGAGATATTGATAGTCTACGAGATCTTGTCCTAGTTGAGGCATTGATAGCTCAAGATCTTTTCCTAGTTGAGGCATTGATAGTTTACGAGATCGTGTCCTAGTTGTGACATTGATAGTTAATTCCTAGTGTCCGTGATGACATCATAGATAGCTTACGAGATCGTGCCCAGTGGTAGTTGCGTTGATCATTTAAGAGTTCGTGTCCTGGTTGACATAGTTGACCAGATTATATCCGACATTGATAGCTAAGCGAAACTAGATTGTACCTGGATAGATACGGGTTAGAGAAACCATTCTGGAGTTGGGTATTTACTACAAATTTGCTACAGGCTCAGCTAAACTTGAACTTCCCTTGCTCCAGGTTGAACTAGATTTAAACTAACCTTGCTGCAGATTTTGCTAGAGTTTTCACAATGAAGGATGATGATTGAGTTTCTTTATCGTAAAGAGAAGAGCAGATGGATTTAGCAACACAACCTCTAGAATCTATATTAAACTCCTGGAGTGCAGAATCTACAGTATTCGCCAGAGCAACTAGTCCTCCTGCATCCTCATCACCTAAACATTACTCAGGGTATCAACAAACCTAGACATTGCTCAGGGTATCAACAAACCTAAACATTACTCAGGGTATCAACAAACCTAGATATTACTCAGGGTATCAACACACCTAGACATTACTCAGGGTATCAACAAACGTAGACATTACTCAGGGTATCAACAAACCTAAACATTACTCAGGGTATCAACAAACCTATATATTACTCAGGGTATCAACAAACCTAAACATTACTCAGGGTATCAACAAACCTAAACATTACTCAGGGTATCAACAAACGTAGACATTACTCAGGGTATCAACAAACATAAACATTACTCAGGGTATCAACAAACCTATATATTACTCAGGGTATCAACAAACTTAAACATTACTCAGGGTATCAACAAACCTAAACATTACTCAGGGTATCAACAAACCTAGATATTACTCAGGGTATCAACAAACCTAAACATTACTCAGGGTATCAACAAACCTAGATATTAATCAGGGTATCAACAAACCTAAACATTACTCAGGGTATCAACAAACCTAAACATTACTCAGGGTATCAACAAACCTAGATATTACTCAGGGTATCAACAAACGTAGACATTACTCAGGGTATCAACAAACCTAGATATTACTCAGTGCATTAACAAACCTAAACATTACTCAGGGTATAAAATCTCCTTATACTTACTTCTTCCCCAATTGAAGGAGGAAAGATTTATCCCTGTTAACCAATAGATCGCCTGCAAGTAAAAAGTCGAAAATTCAGTTTCCATATATGGTTTTGTACCTTTTGCTAGATATATGTCATTTTTTTCGGTATGCGTGATGTAGTTTTAAAAAGTTTCTGTTAAAAGCCAACTATTATTTCTAATTATTTTGGATGACAAGCTGCTGTATATACTACATAGTTTGATTTTTTCATTCATGATGTGGGTATTAAAAATTACCTTTCAAAAGACAATTTTTGTTTAAATTAAAATTATTTTTTGGTGAACTTTACCCCAATATAGGCTGCATGGAAGGTAGAGCGTTTGCCCCCCCCCCTTTACATTTAGTTTTTTCTCACCAGCACTCTTCTTTTTGACACTTTTAACTTGAAATTCCTTGACTTTAAAAAATAGTAATTTAAATTTTTTTGCCTTTTATTAATGCATAGATGAGTAGGGTACATGACGCTCGAAAGACTGGTCAGATTTAAAAAGTTAAAATATCCCATTATTATTGTTATATAAGCTAAAGATCTATAATTTACATTTTTGAAAAGCCCGAAACACGTACGTTTCATCTTATTAATTTGTTAAAACAATTTAAATTTTTTTACGTTTTCCGACCTTTTTTCTATGAACATAGATTGAAACTCCATACTTTTAATATAAGGCTTTTTAACAGAAGGAGAGTTACATACATAGATTCAGAACCCCCAGCCTTTGTTTTGTGGAACCATTTGAAATCCCAAAATACCTAAAATATAATGATTGAATAAGGTTACCTGAGGGAGAATAAAGACTGATGCTATCGCAATAACAACGAATGTGATGATAGATGTTGTATCTACAGTTCAATTTAATCATTTTATTCTTCACAAACTTCAGCATAGGAGAAGAAAAAAGTTTGAGCCAAACTTCTAATTAAAACTTTGATTGGATTTATGAAGTTATAAAAAGTTTTCTAGTATAATACAAGTTTGGAGAGATGTGAAGAACGGAGACGAGGAAGCAAAAACTAGCAGTGGTTAATATAAAGAAGGATATTTACCAATACACATTTATAAATAAACTTGCATTTAGGGCGCTTCGTGTCCGTCTTCTATTTCAACTGAGAACATTTTCTCTTTGTATACATTGTAAAACAAATAAGTTGCGGATTTTATAACAAAAATTAGCGGATTTTCAAAATTTAATGAAAATCGAATTTTGTTGGAGGCAAAACTTTAAAATGTTGATCATCTATAAACCTTCTCTGGGGACATGTGAGGTACCACGCAAAATTTGGCCCCGATCGGTTCAGCCGTTTTGACGTTTATTGGATACAAACGGACAGACGAACAGACAAGCAAAGTAGTACAGGGTTATCCACAAAAATATGACACTTCAGAGACGAATATGGTTAATATAGCTCTTATTTCTTGCATTCATAGTTTCCTCCATTTTTAAACTTTGTTATACCATATTATTTTATGATACCTCAAGGTAACTATATTCAAGGCAGAATTAACCTTTTTGTAAAACTTTTGTAACCCTGTATTTAAATGGTCAAAAAACGCCACCAGTTTGCCTTAGTAGGTTCAAATTCAGGTCTTAAAAATGTAAGCTTGACTCATTTGATTGAACGGACTGTTGACTATATGCATAAAGAAAATAATACGACCTAATTTGTACCCCCCCCCCTCAAGAAATGGAGAACAAAAAAGTTACGCTTCGAGCACATCTCTTCATGAAACCCGAGAAGATAATTTTGTTTGCCAACCCTCCTATTAAAAAGAATACCAAGTGTTAATTTTGATTAAATTACTGTCCTATATTTCCAAAATCAAGAATATTTCCAATATCTCCGAAATTTCCTCCTACAAAATATAAACGTGAATAATTAATAAAACGGAGGCGCGCAATGTTGCGCAACCATGGGCGTACTCAGAAATGGGTCCAGGGGTGAGTTTTAATTTTTTTTCCAAAGAGGTTTGGCACCCGTTGGGGTCTGAAAACCTCCTGGAAACCATAGAATTTACTGATCCAGGGAAGCTGAGCCACCTTAGCCCCATCCCCCTACACCTAAGTATCCCCCTCTAAGTATCACGCCAGAGATAAAACCAAGATTTTAGTTTTTAATTTTTTCTATAATGAATTTTGTGTCCTAATTTGTTGGTATATCTTTAAATTTATATCTTATTATATATTACTAGCTGGATTACTCGGCGTTGCAAAGATTTTTTAAAACAATTTCAAACAAAAAAGTCCGTTTTTAAGCCTTTGTCAACAACGGGGTACCCATGAGTTCCTTAAAAAATCAGCCAATTTTATCCAGCCGTTTGGCCAGCTATAACGAAATAGATGAGCAAAGAGCTTTATTTTATAGATGCATTATACTAACCAAGAATATTAGTAATTGAAGTGAGAGGGATGGATAAGAATGGAACTGTGAAGGTTAAACCAAGCTAAAATATAAAAAAAAACATATTTATATCACCTTTCTTCTAAGAATGTACACTGTACAGTGTGTGCTGCATACTGTACAGTGTACAGTGTACTTTGTGTGTAGGTAAATGTTTAAAAGTATAGTTCTGAACTCATGAATAATGTACGGTATGATATTTTCATTTTCTTAAATTAAGTGTTTTTAATTTTCTTAAAGGGAGTGTTCGCGAAAAATGAAAGGGGGTATAGGCTTACGGCAAAAAAAATAAGCGCTTTTTATCGCTACTAATCTTACTTCTATCTGTTGTGTCTATGAGAAGAAAATGGTTAAAAACGACTTGCACTGAAGAACGTAGCGTCCATACAAATTCAGAGAGTTGAAACATTCAACTAGGATCGTAAAAAAATCAATTTAATTCCAAACAAATCATTCAGATATTACAACCAATAATCATCGATATTTTTTCGACATATTCGTAAATAGTTAATATTTCATAATATTTTTTTTATTTTTTATGACCTTTGAAAACATTTATTTCTGTTTCGAGGATTTTTGATAATGAAGACGACATTTTCATATTTTCCATGAATTTTTGAAAATCCAGCGCCAGCGAAGTAATATTTAAACAAACAAAAACAAAAATATTATGAAATATCAACTATATACGAATGAGTCTAAAAATAATTTATGATAATTGTTTGTAATATCTGAATGATTTGTTTGGAATTAAATTGATTATTTTACGATCCGAGTTGAATATTGAACTTTCTGAATTTGTATTTGTTTGTTCTTCAGCATGAGTCGTTTTTAACAATTATCTCCTTACAGACGCAACAAATAGAAGTAAGATTAGTAGTGATCAAAAGCGCTTTTTTGCTGTAAGCCTATACCCCCTTTCATTTTTCGCGAACACTCCCTTTAAATTAAGTGTTAATAAGGAATTATATTTGCTTTTGCGGAAAAGTAAAAAACTTAATACAAGGTTACCCACAAAGGATGACGACTTGAAACTCTTTAAATATAACATTCAGGGGGTATATTTTGGAGTTCTGCTTTAAAAATAAGAATAGATAAATTCCGTACAGTCGTCTCTGAAGTTTCATCCTTTATGGGTAGCCTTGTACCTAGTATTTTGACCCAGCCTTCAACTGTATGTACTTTTGTCCGGGTAAAACTCCTCAGTTTAAACTTGCACCTGGATATCCTTGCTCGTGGTTCCAGTAAGACCTAGATATTTAGTAAGGTGGTTCGTGGTACCACTGGGACTATTGTATCCACCCCCGCTGTATCCGGTATCAAACACAGATCTAAAATTTAAGATGAAACTAATCAATTGTAATAAAAAAACGCTTCAACGTGGGAGAGTGGGCATGGAGGGGGATATCATAAAAATTATGATTTCGTTAAATATTGTGGACAAGCTGATAATGTATATTTCAAGGAAAATTTTTTAAAGTCGGAGCATTTTAATATTAATTTAATATTAAATACTAGTCTAAACATTTTAGATTTTGATAACTTTTATATAAGAAACTTTTTAAATTCTCAAAACAATAACTTTGATTTTGATGTAACATTTTACAGAAATAACGTGGGTTTATTTTTTGTATAAAGAAACGCAAATGTTTATTTTACCTGTAAAGGCTGGGGGGTCTAAATCTATGTATAGCCGGGGGGCATTTGGCGTTTAAGTGATAAATTTATAAAGTCAAAAATTTAGTTTTTCAAGCAAAGGAATAATTTTTAGACTCTAAGGTTAGTAACACCCAAAAAAGTAGTCTTTTTGGTGTATTTTTACGGTGAACAAAACAAGTCCAGGTGGGAGGGGGGGGGGGGGCAAAAAAAATTTAAAAAAGGTATTAATATTTTTTTTTCAAAAAAGGGGTTTTTAAGGGGGGGTACAATGTTGCCAGGGGGGGGGCCAACAATTTTTTTTTGTGCGCTTACGCACGCAAATTGTGCCCCCCCTAAACAAAAGCCCTCGTACGCCCCTGTTAGGGTTAAGAGGATTTCAGAGCCTATTATGATTATTAACTATACTTCTATTTTTATATTATGTCTCATCATTATACAAATAATAATCCAATTCGAATAATTCACAGAAATTTTAGAAAATGTTCGGAAATCAATTTCAAACTACAATCTAAAAGGTTAAATGCTAAAAATTACATTTGTAAAATATAAATCCAAAAACATTGTATTTCACCCTGTATAATTATCTATATTTACAAAAATATAAAGTTTTGTTAAAAACTGGACAGCATGAAATTTTATTAAGTAACACTATATTAAATGCACTTAGTCATCATTGTAGTAGGAAGTGAGGACAGTAATTAGGGAAAAATATTTATAAAACATTGCAAAAACTAGATATAGGATTGCAAAAACATAGATACACAAAGGATAAGAATTCAGGGACGACATAAAAGATCTATTCAACATTTGTTCTTGAAATCATGGTTCCATGCTAAATTTTTAATATTATTTTGAAATGAAACGAAACCTGATAAGGCACGTCCAAACCAAACCAAATACGACACATGTACAATTATATAAACAAAAAATGACGCGTTTACAAATATTTAAGCAAACCAATATGCAGTATACAACACACGTGTCTAATTATTTAAACCAAACCAAATATGACACATGCAGAAATATTAAACCAAACCAAATATTACATGGGAAACAGTATGAAAACCCCCAAAAAATATATATTTATCATTAAGACCAAACCAAATATGAAATGTAAGTGTATGTAAAATTGTTCGTGTAATTGTAAACCAGCATTATTAAGAATCGTGAAAGTGAGCCAAACAAACTTTGAAATGTGTATGCAAGCCAAACCAAATATGTCACTTTTTTTAAACAAAACCAAATTTGTCATATCAATGCACACCAAATAAAATATGTCACGTTACCAAACCAAATATGTCATGTTATGTAACCAAACCAAATAATTATTCTCTACCTGACTCCGACATTACTTCCTTCAGCTGTTAAATAATCCTCCTCTACTGGACCGGTCAAACTGTTGGGAAGAACCTGACAATAGAAATTTAGGTTTTCGCCATTATCTGGCGTACAGGGATAAAATATTTACTTTGACATTGATTGATTTAATCGATTTAATGTCGATTCAGTTTTTCATTTTCTAGAAGAAACTTATCTTTCATAGTTAATTATGCAATGTAAAATAAACTAATTTTTGTATCAATAAAAATTGTTTAAATGCTTGAAATCTGATTCTGAGAACCACATGTGATTAATCCAACCTCTTCTTTAATAAGACCCTGGAACGGGTTCGGAAAGAATTGGTTTGCTCTTTCTCCCATTGCCTAAACAGAACAGAGATGAAAAGATTTTGTGATTTAGGATAATTTGGAAGAAAATGAGTTATTGCCACAAACTCAAATTTTCTAATCATAAAATATCTTTGCAACCTGATAGTGTAAACCTTTAATATTTCAAACTTGGATTATTTGATCAGACTGAAATCATAGTTTTAAAATATCTAAGTTCTACGACATTGGGTTGGAAAGATATAGGGATAAGAAAATCAGAGTTTGTGGCAAAGACTCAATTTCTTTCTGGTTAAATCTGGGTTTCATGGTTTGTGTCTCAAGAACACAGGGTTGGTACTATGAATGGTCTAAGCCCAAACAAAAAACGAGGCTACCCAAAAATATTGTTTTTACACCCTGTACAATCAGAAATAATTCGTAACAATTGTTTACTCCTATGTCCTGATCTGAAAACGGCCTGATTTTTACAATTTTAACCTTTGGCAACGTGTGCGGGAAAAGCAGTGAAGTGAAAAAATTGTCGAGTAACCTTGAATATTATTTAATCTTTTAGTATACGGAGCAGAACTACAGATTTATGTAAAATATATCAGAGTCAAACCGTGAAATCTAATTCCAGCCTCATACAAGTATACTGTAATATCATGGTAGAGATGCAAGCATTAATTCTAGGAAAATATGAAAACCATCTTTTTTAAGAAAGAAAAATTTCATTTTAAAAAACAATAAAAGTTGGAATTAAATCTAAACCTTCTCCTGCATTTTCTTCTCCTGCTCCAGCATCTTCCTGTTCTGCTCCCATATCTCCAGCTGCTGGAGGAGCTGCTCCTTCTGTTCAGGAGATAATTCGTCCTCCCTGGCCAGGAGAGCTAGCAGCTGCTTCTCCTGTTCCATCAGTTTACTCAGCTTATTATCAGTATCAACTCTTCTAAACACATAGACATGGTTTAGTATCATTATCAGTATCAACTCTTCTAAACACATAGACAAGTTTTAGTATCAGTATCAACTCTTCTAAACACATAGACATGGTTTAGTTTCAGTATTAACTCTTCTAAACACATAGACATGGTTTAGTTTCAGTATCAACTCTTCTAAACACATAGACAAGGTTTAGTATCAGTATACACCATTCTAAACACATAGGCAAGGTTTAGTATCAGTATTCACCCTTCTAAACACATAGACATGGTTTAGTATCAGTATCAACCCTTCTAAACACATAGGCAAGGTTTAGTATCAGTATCAACTCTTCTAAACACATAGACATGGTTTAGTATCAGTATCAACTCTTCTAAACACATAGATAAGGTTTAGTATCAACTCTTCTATACACATAGACATGGTTTAGTATCAACTTTCATCCTTTCATCTATTTCTCATAAATGTGTAATTTGTAATTTAAAAATAGACCTTGGACTTACTTAAGGAAATGAAAATATAATAAAAACCACCGTATAAACTTCATAAAGTAGACATACCTTTCTGCCTGTTGAACCTGTGGTATCGGAGAAACTCCTGCAAATCCTTTCGGAGCTTCAGATACCCTAGAGAAGAAAACATTTAATCTCCTACGTATAATATAGTCAACATTAATGGGCACCTATAAATAGACTGTATTGACTGATTAGAGTAAGATGCTATGTTCATTAGTGAGTTTCTACCGACTTCTAAATTAAAGGGACTGACTGTAAAAGTAATCTTTAGTGACCTTCAAGATATAAAAAGTGACTTGCAGATTTATGTAAGAGGAAAAAAGATGGATGTTGTCAGAATTTAACACTTTTTCAGATAGAAAGCAACAATATCTTTTTCAATGTTGCGTAAATGAAAATGAAAAGGGTCCCATGGTGAATTAGGCGGGAAAATCTGTAATTGAGAGATCAATTGAAAATATAATTATAAAATGGAGTCTCTACATATACTCACGTTGTTTGTTTGTTTGTTTGTTTGTTTGTTACCAACAAGCGTCAAAACTTTTTTGGGGATCTCGCAACATTTAGGGTGTGGCTATGGTCTGAATTATAAATTTGACTAAGCTACGATTTTATTTAAATTTTGAAAAATTCACCAAATAAATTAAAAATAAACTGTAAAAAGTTTCATGGTTATTGTTTTATTCAAGAGCTGAAACTAAAATTCTAATATACAAAATTTAGTTTTGAAAACTAAAAAATATTATTTATTGGATAAATATTATCGTGAGAAATACAAGAATTGAAAGAGGGAAAATCCGAAAAGATAATCTATCAAATCCTGCGACAGGACCAAGAGATTGAGTTTAGTTTGAAGGTAATAGAAAATTCAAATCTTTTCAGAAATACAAAATAAATTCTGAGAAATTTTAATCTTACTTTGAATCTACACTTGAAGGTTCAAGCTGTTCAGGTTTCATCAGATCCGTGACTCTCATTGAGTTCTGTAAAGCCGGAGAAAAATGTTTTTGTTTCCTTGAACCCTGAACCTGAACCTGCTCCGGGAAGCTGGACACCATGGGTTCCATTGATTCCGTTCTACTCTCAAACTGTGAGTAGTACTCGTCAAGGAATCTAAATAATTATAAAGAATTTAATTCATTCTACATCATAGTTTCTCAGTTATACCATTCTACATCATAGTTTCTCAGTTATACCAAAGAAAACTTTGAAAAGGAATTGAGTTATTTCCGTAAACTCAAATTTTCGAATCCCTAAATTTGTGCACCGAATGGTTTATAGATCTTTGATATTTCAAACTGAGAATATTTAATCTAACAGAATTCATAGTTTGAAATATCTAAGGTCTACGGCATTTGATTACAAAGATATAGAGATTAGAAAATCATAGTTTGTGACAAAGACTCAATTCCTTTGAAAATTTAAATCCAAAACAATATGAATATTTTTACTGACTCCATTCTAGGCACGACTCACGAAGATTTAAATTAAATCTGTCAAAACTAAAGAAATCTTTATATTGAAATTGAAATGAAAAGACTGATTTCTTTTAAAAATAATAATTCAAAGAATTTTAAACTCTGAGGAATTATATGATCTTCAACCATGTTTACTTTTACTAAAGTTACGTAAAGTAGAATAGTTATAAACTTTATTGTGCAGTACACACTGTGCCACTACATATTTTCATCACGGTGTGAATAATCTTTATTGTGCAGTACACACTGTGCCACTACATATTTTCATCACGGTGTGAATAATCTTTATTGTGCAGTACACACTGTGCCACTACATATTTT